ATGAACAAAACCTTGTTAGAAAGAACAAGAGCAATGTTGAGGGATGCAGGCCTAGAAAAATCATTCTGGGCAGAAGCAATCAATACCTCCTGTTATTTGGTGTATCGAGCTCCATCAACTGCAATAGAGCTGAAGACACCAATGGAGATGTGGACTGGTAAACCATCTGATTATTCAAACCTCCATGTGTTTGGAAGTATTGTGTATGTGATGTACAACTCCCAAGAAATTTCAAAGCTGGATCCAAAATCCAGGAAATACAAATTCTTGGGGTATGCTGATGGAGTAAAGGGGTATCGCTTGTGGTATCCTATTGCCCGCAAAGTGATCATTAGCAGGGATGTTATCTTTGTAGAAGATAAACTACAAAGAAAAGAAGACGATGATAGCGTTGAAAAGTCAGAGACTACTCAGATACATGTGGAAAAAGAGTTTGAAGAAGGAGATTCTTCTGAAGCAGAACCAGCACATGATGAACAAGAACCAGAGAGTTCTAAAGCTCCAACAACTCGTCAATCAAATCGTGTGAGAAGACGTCCCAATTGGCACTCAGATTATGTTATAGAATGTAATATTGCATACTGCCTTTTAACAGAGGACGGTGAGCCATCAACATACCAGGAGGCAATAAACAGTTCAGATGCTTCACTGTGGATGATGGCGATGCAAGAAGAAATCGAAGCCCTTCATAAAAATAATACATGGGACCTTGTGCCACTACCACAAGGAAGAAAGCCAATTGGTAACAAATGGGTTTTCAAAATCAAGCGAAATGGTGACGATCAAGTGGAGAGGTATCGTGCAAGACTGGTGGTCAAAGGATATGCTCAGAAAGAAGGTATTGATTTCAATGAAATTTTTTCTCATGTGGTTCGACTAACAACAGTTCGAGTAGTCTTGGCAATGTGTGCTACATTGGACTTACATCTAGAGCAGCTAGATGTTAAAACAGCTTTTCTTCATGGAAATCATGAATAAGAGATTTATATGCTCCAGCCTGAAGGTTTTGAAGAAGAAGAAAAGAAGAATTGCAGGTTGAACAAATCTCTGTACGGTCTAAAGCAGGCGCCGAGGTGTTGGTATAAGAGATTTGATTCCTTCATTATGTGCCTTGGATACAACAGACTTAATGCAGACCCTTGTGCTTATTTCAAGAGGTCTGGTGATAACGATTTTGTTATATTGTTATTGTATGTGGATGACATGTTGGTTGCAGGACCCAACAAAGATCATATTGAAGAATTGAAGGCACAACTGGCTAGGGAATTTGAAATGAAGGACTTGGGATCAGCAAACAAGATTCTAGGGATGCAAATTCACCGAGACAGAAGTAATAGGAAGATTTGGCTTTCACAAAAGAATTACTTGAAGAAGATCTTGTCACGATTTAGCATGCAAGATTGTAAGCCAATTTCTACCCCTCTTCCTATTAACTTCAAATTATCTTCCAGTATGAGTCCTAGCAGTGAAGAAGAGAGGATGGAGATGTCTCGAGTACCGTATGCATCAGCAGTGGGAAGTTTAATGTTCGCTATGATATGCACAAGACCAAACATTGCACAAGCAGTGGGAGTGGTTAGTCGGTACATGGCGAATCCAGGCAAAGAGCATTGGAATATTGTAAAGAGGATCCTAAGATACATCAAAGAGACCTCAAATGTTGCATTATATTACGAAGGATCAAACTTACTAATCAATGGGTATGTAGATTCTGACTATGCAGGGGGTTTGGATAAAAGCAAATCTACTACAGGATATGTGTTCAAAGTTGCTGGTGGAGCTGTAAGCTGGGTTTCAAAATTGCAGTCAGTTGTGGCTACGTCCACAAAAGAGGCAGAATATGTAGCAGCTACACAAGCCAGTAAAGAAGCTATTTGGTTGACGATGCTATTGGAGGAGCTTGGGCACAATCAAGAGTATGTCTCTCTGTTTTGTGACAGTCAAAGCGCCTTGCATCTAGTAAGGAATCCAACATTTCATTCAAGGACTAAGCACATACGAGTTCAGTACCATTTCATTCGTGAAAAGGTGGAAGAAGGAACGGTAGATATGCAGAAGATCCATTCCAAAGACAACATAACAGATTTCATGACGAATGCAATCAATGCTGATAAATTTACCTGGTGTCGATCCTCCTGTGGCCTGTCAGAAACGTAAGCAACATGAAAGGTACAAAGTAGAAAGAATGGTGTGAAGATATGATTGTTCCAATCAAATCTTCAAGTGGGAGATTGTTGAAAATTGGCACATCAAATTACATCAATTGTCAACATTATGGGTGGCAATTTGGTGGCATTAATGGGGTGGCAAAATTGGTCAAATTTGGCCACCAAATTGTTGAAAATTTTAGATGGTAAAACTATGCAATTAGTCATTATAATTTAGGGTATTTACAAATTAGTCCTTAAAGCTTCAACTATAAATACCCTAGCTCATTTAGCTTCAAAACCATCCCAAAGCATTCTAGTTTTCTTCCAATACTAGAGAGAATTTAGAGAGTTTCTTGAGAGTTGTTTTCTCTTTTTTATCAAGAGAGAATTATCATTGTTTTCTCCTTGGTAGATCGAGAGATGTTGTAATTCCTATTTTCTCATAGTGAAATTCTTCTACCGTTGCCTGTGGTTTTTACCCTATATTATTTAGGGGTTTTCCACGTAAATTTTGTGTCTCTTTTTATCTTCATTTTTATTTTCTTAAATTATCAGTTGCGATTTTGTTCTATTCGATAGCCGTATTCCGCAACATCCAGTAGTGGATAGGACTTCATTTAATGGTACTTGTTTTTTTTACTCTTTTAGATATCAGCCGCTTAATTTAATTGCCATATAAAATAAGTTTGGTAATGTAGTTCTCTAATATCAATTTTACGGTTTAGAGCTGGTGAAGCTAGTTGAAACAACGATTTAGGTCAGATAACTCCAGGTCACCAAACAGGCAAATATATCTTGAAGCAGAGTCTCTTGGAGCATGCCCTGCCCTTTCTGTCGCAGCTCGGAATCCTAACTTGGATCTTGTACTCGTTTCGTCCAACCCAGGTTAAAATTTACAGTCTTACAACAGTGCCATTTCCGTTCTATATAAACTCTTGATTTGATCAGTGTGAAATCATGTTGAAGAAATGCTAGATGATCGATTTAGATGCTCTGCTTGATCCATGGAGAATCTAATTGATCCATCTTTTTTCCCTGTTTTCTTTCTAACCCGCAGCAACATCTTTTAATAAGTCACAGTGGCAAACACTGATACCTCTACTGGACATTATGCCTGATCAGTTCCCACTTAATCTCCCTTACATGCTCAGCTTACCAACAGGTTATTTTGCCAACATGTTCTTTTGAATTTCTTAGATGCATGCGAAGTCTCCTTTGAGGATGCCGATGCGATTTTATCAACAATTGGACTATATAAGTTTAGGCAATCCTTTGAGGATGCTGATGGATAATGTTTTGAAAAGAGGTCTTCTTCCCCAAACCATTGAAAATTTATCACAAAATTTTGCTACAATGTCAACGTACCTCCCAGTAAGATCCATAGCTAAATGTCTAAAGGATGTAGCATTACTTTTTTCTCCTGCCATTTTCTCCTATATTGATTCATGTAAACTTAATCATTTTAGTATCACAGGCAATGTAGGCCCATGATTATTTTCAATTGTCTTTCTCCTTCTATTCATTCTCCAAAGCACACTATACAAAATTGAGGTAGATGTGAACAAAATAGCTACATGGTATGAATAGAATCGATCTTTTGTTGTTGACAGGTTCTGGCTGATATTTTACCCAGAGAAACACTTCGATGGAAGCTAAATTTGCTGAAATCTGGTTCTGACTCTGCCAACTCATTCCTTCATGCAGTAAAAGCTCAGATATTGTTACTTTGCAGGTCCTTAAACTCTGGCATTTAAAATCTCATAGAAATATTTTGCTTGTTCTGTGGATATTGGTGGTAAATGTAAATCTTATAGATGTCAAATGGATGTACATATAAGAAACATTAACTTGATGATTTTCTTAAAAAAAATCATTATATGCAGAAGGTTGTGCCATCCATAAAATCTATAACTCTATCGTGTTGGCTAAAACTCTAAATAATATTTCCCAAATTTTGATAATGCCTACATGGTTAACTGTTCGTATTTGTTTCTGCTATCCACATAATTGTTGAACCTCTGCAGTACCTAAACGATCATGTGTTAATATTGTATCAAAACAGTTGAATTGTAATACCGTGATGGTAGATTGAATTCACAGTGTTTTCTTTACTTCTAGTGGAAGAGATCAGCTGTTACCTAGTCAAGAGGAATGCCAAAGACTTCAAAAAGCACTACCAGATTGTGAGATTCGTAAGTTTGAAGAAAGTGGTCATTTTCTCTTCATGGTATGCTTCTTTCTTCGCGTAGGCATTTAGGGACTGAGTCCGACTAATTCCAAACTGCAAGCCACTTTCTGATACAAATTGCTCAATTGTTCAGGAAGATAATGTTGACTTGGTCACAAACATCAAGGCTGCTGCTTTCTATCGCCGAGGAAAGCAGTTTGAATGTGTCTCAGATTACGTGCCACCAACACCTTGGGAATTCAAAAAAGTACATGAATCAATGAGGTAAGGATCAATTGTTTTACTACAAAATTTACAGAAATATTGATTTGAAATTAATAGATTGGTTTAGTTGAGTAATTAATTGAATTGGTTTTGTTCCTAGATGGCTTCTTTCAGCTACCGGCCCTGTGATGCTCTCAACATTACAGGATGGCAAGGTGGTGAGGGGACTCGAAGGAATTCCATCAGAGGGACCAGTCCTCTTTGTTGGTTATCACATGTTACTGGGAATTGAAATTGTTCAATTAGTAGCTCAACTTCTGATGGAGAGAAATATTCTTGTTCGTGGGATCACACATCCAATGATATTTGTAAAAGAGAAAGATGGAAATCCCCCGCAGATGGACCCATCAAATTTTGATATATTCAGACTAATGGGTTCAGTGCCTGTCTCAGCAGCAAGCTTCTTCAAACTCATGTCTTCAAAATCTCATATCCTGTTATATCCTGGTGGTGCACGGGAAACCCTTCATAGGAAGGTAACATATATAATAATATCCTATCAACATTTTATACATTGTCGAGGGATTTTCCAGCTACTTTAGAATAAGTTTATGAAAATAGTATAGCATGCATTATCAATGATGGATCGAGAGGGACGGGTGGGGCAGTGATCCCTTAAAAAATTTAATTACTCGTTTATTTTGGATATTCTTTTATTTTTGTTGATAATTTATTTTCGTTCATTTAAAATTTTATAACTTTATCCTCCTAAAATTTTATAAATTAGTCATCTTAACATAAAATTATGCATTCGTCCTTGTGCATTACCTTATTTATATGTATATGTAATACTCACGTGTTGAGTTGATCCCGCAGGGGGAAGCATACAAGTTATTTTGGCCAGAGAAAACTGAGTTCGTGAGGATGGCAGCCAGATTTGGAGCCAAAATTGTTCCTTTTGGCGTTGTTGGAGAGGATGATGTCGCTGAGGTGATAAAGGCTACGCATGCAACTTTTGTTTTCCTCATGAAGTTGTTTTCACTCATAACAGTAGCTAACACGTTATATTTATCATTATATTTTATCAGCTCGTGGAGGTTTTTTCTAATAATTCTATATAGAAATGATTCTAAGTTGATTTTGCTGCTTAAGTCACGAATAATAATTAATTTGCATGGGGTGTTTACTTAATTTTCCAGATAATTTTGGATTACGATGACCAAATGAAGATTCCGTGGAGAAGGGAAGAAATAGAACGAGTTACAAATCGGTTTTCAAAAGTTAGGTATTAATTCAAAATTAAACTGAATTATTATGATTAGGAATTTTCTTTTTTGAATCGTAAGTACGCCTTGATTCTTGTTATGATTAGGAATTTTCTTGGTTGAATTCTAAACCCTTATTTAGGGCTGATGCAAGTGGTAAGGTTGCAAACCAGCAAATGCATTTACCAGTGATGCTACCAAAATTTCCAGGCCGGCTTTATTATTATTTTGGGAAGCCCATTCTGACTGAAGGTAAATTATAGAAATTAATGATTAGGATCCACTTGCATCTAGTGTTTTACATCTTTTTAAGATCTTTAGATGAAGGAAATCAAAGGTTGAGATTAACTTTTTTAAGTGAATATCTTCTCATTTCCTAATGTCTCAACCTTTGATTTGTTCCCATTCAACAATCCTAAAAAGGTATAAAACTTTTTTGTTTTATACTATGCAATTGGATCCTAGCCTATATATATATATATATATATATATATATATATTTGATTCATTGATAGTGTAAAAAAATAATTGTTAAGATAAATTTGTATAAAAAGTTGAGGTGTACTTACAGGGATGAAGATGGAGCTGAGGGATAAGAAGAAATGTGATGAACTGTATCAAAATGTAAAGTCAGAGGTGGAGGGCTGCATTGAATTCTTGAAACGTAAAAGAGAAAAGGATCCTTATAGGAATTTATTTTCAAGAGTATTATACCAGGCCTCCCGTCCTGGTTCTATCTCTCCCTTTCATATCCCATCATTTGATTTATGATGTTTTGCTTTTATATGTTGGTATACATATATTTTTCTATTAATGTTCTAATTGTTGTTATGCTTTGAGATTTTGGATTCAAGCGTTAGGAATGTCAGAGATATAAATGTTCAATGTCAAATAATTAAAAATTATTTTTAAATATATAATATATTGTATTTACCCAAATTAATAAATAAAAAGATTATTTCTTAGATTTACTTATATATATATATATATATATATATATGTCCATCTAATAATTTATGTTTAATTTTTTAGTCATTTCTCTTTATAGTACCATTTATAAAGTTTGAATCCAGACTGATATGTGCTATGCATGATGTATGATATGAACTAATTATTATTGCACAGATTTGCTTATGATTCTTAAATTAGTGCCACGGAAAACTTTGGTCAGCACTTGTGCAGCACCTGAACCTCTCAAGAATGTTGGTAACTTGAGAATTGTTGATTCAAGGAGGCTGGATAGTTGAAGTCAGTTTACCTAATGAGTCGAGTGTGGTAAATGATGGTTTGAGGGGTGGAAGATGGCGCTTCTCGTTCTCTTGTCGATTGGAAGGTGAGTTTATCTAGTAAGTTATTGAGTCATAATTTATTTACTATATGTATACTTAGTCATAAATAAAATATATTACTTTAATTAAAAATACACAAATTTTACATCAACTACAATTTAATATAAAAATGATTAATATTAATAAATAAAAAAATATTTAATTTTATTTAGGAGAAAGTATACAAATGGTCCGTCGATTATAGGATATTATTTTATTATGTTCCTCGATTATTAAAAATTATAAAATGATCCTCTGACTATAGAGTGTTACTTTGTTGAGTCCCTCAATTATTAAAAGTTACATAATAGTAATCCGACTATTAATCATGTTTTAAACTCGTCATTTTATGTTAAAATATTGATGGTATTCTAAGTTGAATATTAATTTGTTGATCGTGATATGATAAAATTTAATCACAAAATCTCAAATGACTAACAAATTACAGTCATCATGTTAGCATCTAACTTTGACAACCATTAATTTTTTAAAGAAAAAGATGAGTTTGGAACATAATGAATAGTCGGGTAACCATTTTGTAACTTTTACTAGTCGTGCGACTTAATAAGATTATATTATATAGTTGAAGGATCATTTTGTAACTTTTAAGAGTCAATGATCTTAATAAAGTAATATCCTATAATTGAAGGACCATTTTTGTACTTTACCCTTTTATTTAATGATCGTTTTCACCGAGGTGATCGACTTATACAGTTATACTATATACTTTCTCCACAATCCTGCCGTCTGCTAATTATATACTTATTTGTTTAAAATCTTAATTAATTAGTTAATTAAATACACTTAAAACGTTAAAATGTTATTTTATTTGTTTATTAAACACACAAAAATAACATTATTTTAGAATATATTTGTATGGTACGTCACATAAATATATATATTAAAATATTTTAAAAAAAAACGTTGAAGATATAAAAACATAATGTAACCCCCAGACCGATGCGGGTAACACGATCCGATCTGGGAAATCACATGAGGGCCACCGGAGTGACCCATTGTAAAAATAGCGGAAAATTTAAAACTTTTTTTATCAGAACATGTAACTCATAAAATCATTTGTCACTATTTAAAAATAAAACAGATTTTCATACTCGTATATAAATTAAAATACAATTACATGCCCCCTAATCACATGTACCATACTCTGTAACAACGCCAGAAGAACTCTCTTACTGAAGTCGATAAATGCACTGGTACAATTCTTTTAACCTGAAAAGGTGAGTAATAGAGTGAGCTTTGGAAAGCTTAGTAATACAGAACTATCAGGTGATGCTGATGAATGTGCAGATACAGATAAATATATATTTCCTTATTATTTCCGAACATTTACAGATTTTTATGTTGAGCAGAGATCCTACTGATATTTCAGGTGGTAATGGACAATGAGCTTTCAGTTCAGAGAAATATTTCGGATGACTGAATTCAGGAGATCAGAATAGGTTATCTAGCGTGTTTCTAAAAAATCATGTAACTTTTCAGATCTTTTTAAAACATATATATATACCCCCATCCGTCACGAACAAAATGTGTAGGTTCCCCAAAACCATACGACCCCGTCACGAACAGTAAGGCCATGAGCACAAAGCCGATGAGCCTCCAAGTAATCTTCCTCCAACAATACCCCCCAATAAAACATGTACCGTCCGTAAACGGATATATCAAAAATCAAAACATAATTCAAGTCAAGTATCATATCAGAATCCAGGTCATGTATCAGATCAGAATCCATGTTAATATCAGATCAGAATCTAGGTCAAGTATCATAACATAATTCAAATCAGAAATCAGATAAAATATTCATGTAATTAGGGAACACACCAGAGCTTACTGGTATTATTTAAAGGTACTGTATCATGCAGAGAAACACAGTTCTTCAGTATGTCGATAGAATGTTGGAATTTAGAATCACTATTGGAAGAGTTCATTAACTACATAATCATCAGTTATTCAGAATGTGAATTGAGCGGATAAGACAGAAACGAATATTTAAAACATTTACGATTTACGTCGATCTATCAGAATATCGAACAACTCCCATAACTGATACTTATCGACTGGTCAATTCATTACCCTTCCAGGGTGTTTACTCTTTAATACAAAAAATACTTGTCCAGAGATCATCTTCGGAATCATCGTTGAATAGATCTTTCAATGTCTTTATTTCATTTTCACGCTTCCACAATTTCATGCAATGCTGACGCACTTGATTATTTTAATCATAACCCATCGTAATTGTACACTATGTAAACTCATCAGAATTTCCAAACTTATCCAAATCACTTACTAAATCCTCTGTCATTGAGGTTACCTAATTCATTTATCAGTCATGTCTATTCTCGTTATTTCGGGGTTTTCTAGGGTAATCCAGACGTTTCTGAAATTCGTATACATATTGTACTTCCGTTCAATTCAATTTGGTCTTCGTGGTTTATTTGTCTAATGAATATCCATTTTTTATTACCGAATGCGATCTAGAGTTGAGCTGAGTATGTAACACCCCCAACCCGTATCCGATCCGGATACGAGTCCGAAGTGTCACATTGACTTTTCAAACATTTATTCGTATAAAATAGTGAGTAATTTAAAAACTTTGATAATATTTAACTTATTAAAAACGTTTACAAAATATATCAGAGTTCATACAATTTATATCTTTAGACTACATGCCAACTACACTCTATAAACAGTACATATATTTTCTGATCCGACATTTGGTAAGGAGAACTGACCTGTCTTGCTCCGCATTACTCTTTACTCTTCTCGAAACCTACGTGTGAAACAATCACACGCTAAGTCGAAGACTTAGTGAGGCATAACAACTTATAATGCACTTTATAACATATATCAATACATGCA